ATGGCGTATCTATCTATCTATCTATCTATCTCTTGTTTACATAAAAAAGTAAATAATAACGGAATTATTCGTTTTCTTTCAGTTAATTTGCACATCGGTGTATCTATCTATCTATCTATCTATCTCCTGTTTACATAAAAAAGTAAATAATAACGGAATTATTCGTTTTCTTTCAATTAATTTACACAATGGTGTATCTATCTATCTATCTATCTATCTATCTCTTGTTTACATAAAAAAGTAAATAATAACGGAATTATTCGTTTTGTTTCAATTAATTTGCACGAGGGGGTACTTTGCTTTAAAAATGTATCGTTGGTCATTTTGCTTTATGTAGTATTGCTTTATTTTTATATAAGAAATATACTGGTGGTATATTTACTATAAAATTTATTTTTGATACTTTTATGTTGTATTCTTTTGAGGCTCACTATTTTCCCATAGCCAGGACAATAGCAGGTGCTAAAACCCCCAGTGCAGTTTGAACCTGAGAACAACAGCAATTAAGCTTCTTGTTAAAAACTATCTCGCTTTTCAATTTAGACATTTTTCTTTTCTTTTTTTGACAGTGTGTCATGCATTATGTTATTTTACAGTCACCTTCCCGCCACTCTCTTTTACTCGCTCTCTCACTCGCCTTAACATTCTTTTTTGTTTCCTTATTTACGAATTTATTTCCCGACAGTCGCCTGAACTAGAACCCATTCTCATTCTCATTCAACCGTCGTTCACATTTTCACCATTAGAAACTCCATAGCCGCCTTTAACATTGGATCCGATCTCAACAGATTTCTCTCTTTACGACCAATGAAGGGCAAACATGGCCGAAAATTCAGTCCACGGTTCTCTAATCCCAATCTTTGGAGATAAAAGCCAAATGTCTTTGCCTAATTTACTTTAGAAACCAAATATAAACAAAGGTTTCTTTTTACGCGTAATTTTCGTCTTCCACCAAGTATTTAACCTTTGGAATTGTAAATCTTTCTGCTTTTTTCCCGTCCTCTTGTCTGGAGTTTTGCTTGTATTGGCTTGAGACTAATTATCGCATGCTTTTGTTCCAGATTTCTAATTTCCTTTCTTTTCTGCTGCACCATTCTTCATTGTTTTTCGTTCTTACTCTTCTTTGTCTTCGTAATTTTCTCGTTAATGGCATCTTCTCGTCTTCCCTAGTGTTTTTTTTCTTCTTGTTCTTCTGTTTTTTCTTCTATTGCGGCTACTACTACTTCTAACATGTCAACTAGAATTCAACCAATACAAGCCTCAGGAGCCGCTCAAGCTAGATGTTCACTGTTAAAATGTTAATGATGAATGAAGTTTATATGAACGTGGGAATTGTTGTTTTTTAAGGAACAAACATGAAGAAAATGTCACTGTGCCTAGTTTCCTAGGTGATGAACATTTTTTTTAAAATTGTGATTGCTTTAACACAATATCATGTCACCCTCTATACTCAGCGGGGTCAGAATAAATACCGTTGGTAACATGGTGATGCTAGACAAGGTAGTGACTACTTCGATGGGCATGGGGGACCAGGTGATGTAGTTACTGGTTGAGTAAGAATGGTCTCGCTAAACCATAGCCCACGAAAAACATTGAGTAGCAGGTTGGCAATATGTAATAAAATGGATTAAGTCCGACATTTAATTTATATGTTTTCAGGTTATTCGTTATTTTTATAGATATAATTTATTTAAGTAGTGCTGTGTTTTTTTTGTTTTTTTTTTAATAAATATTGAAGCTTCATATGTGTGCGTCTGTGTGTGTATTGATACGTGTTTATCTGTGCTTACACAGGCAGGCATATCACACGCACGCACACACACACACACACACAGACGTATACAGACACAGACTCGCACAGTCATATATACAGGGTGCGATGGGTAAATTGTCGCCATATTATGTTTTTTCATTTCGTGCATGCGCGTTGATAGTTGTTATAGTATCAATTAGAAGTTTCGTAGAAAATATGCGCTCTCCGACGTGAATTGTACCTGTAAACCTTATGGGAACTATGATTCAGCCTGGCGTGCTGTAACCATTCTGCCACGAAGATTCGGATTTTGCTAACCAGACGCTTCTCTTTGATTGTATGACGATTCTTGACGGAGTGCGGATATTTTCTACAAAATTTCTAGAAAATTCAGGCCGGTATATGTAATGTTAACATTGTCAACCAGCTACTCTAGGTTTTAGGTGGGGTATGGTTTAGCGAGACGACTCCACATGAATGACTATCCACCCCACCAAAAAATCACCGCGTTGATGGAGTTGTTTTGAACATCTTCACTCACAGATAAACTGCGATATATATATATATATATATATATATATATATATATATATATATATATATATATTATAAATTGATTTATTTAAAATATGTTTTTTTCGCTACACAGTTCTAACCATGTTTCAAAAGTGGAAACTAAAAGCTACGAATTTAATTTTGCAATTAAATTAAAGACATTAGTTCCATTTCATCCTCAAGCCAATATTTTCGCTTGAGGATGAAATGGAACTAATGTCTTTAATTTAATTACAAAATTAAATTCGTAGCTTTTAGAGTAAGATTTAGTAGATAGTAATAAAAACCACAGAGCTTGATAGAAATTGCTATTGTAACCAGAAAAATATCCCCCAACCCAACCCTACACGACTCCAAAAACTTCACATATAATAAACATTCCTACTTTCTCCAAAGCAGATATCTATTGATAATGAAAAACAGGCCCCAGATTACGCCTCCATTTCCAAAGTAAATCATTTCTCCATTTAGTTATTCCAAGCATCGCTTGAAAATGAAACGGTCATCTAAAGTTAGGATTTAATATTGAAATTAAACTTGTGGACCAGTTTCGAAACATAGTAATTTCTGTGTCACGATGGAATCATATTTTTATAAATAATTATAATTTTAAGCACTACTTCTGTATCGATCATTGTTTTTTAAAACATCAATGTCTTCTTTCCTATTAAATAAATACACGCACACACAGATATATATATATATATATATATATATATATATATATATATATATATATATATTAGAGTAAAAAAAAAAAGAACAGTAAGATGTAATCCGGTGTTCTTATTGATATTTTTTTATTTTTACAAAACAGTGCTCAATGTTAATTTAAAGAACATGATTATTATAAATTAATTGATTTAAAAATTAACGGAATCCAAAAATGATTCTAAAATATTTAAATTGATTTTTTAAAATAATTTATTATTATATATATATATATATATATATATATATATATATATATATATATATATATATATATATATATACAGTGCGATGGGCAAATTGTCGCCATTTCATTTTTTTAATTCCGCGCATGCGCGTTGTTGGTTTTTAATTTTACCCACTGCTCATTAATAGTAGAGTCAGATGGGCGTTGTTTGTGAGAAAGAAAGATCATTATGAAACAATTCCCTCTGCCAGAAATTTGGAAACGCCATGCCGTACTGCTTGGCATTCACGCCGGAAACTCGAATATGAATATTTCAGTGTCTGGGTTTTAAAATTTGGTCCAGGGAGCGATTTCAGAAAGAGTTGAATGAGTGTAATGGTGATTACCAAGGTAATGCAGCTTGGAAAAAAATCGCTCTGATCGTTTTGATGAAAGAACACCCGAAGTTGTTGCTGAGGTCCTCAGACTCAGCACGAAGGTCTACGTCAATTGCTTCGACCAGGTAATACTGGCCTGTGTCAAGTGGGTAGCTCCTGGAAAACCCTATGACTGGCAACAGGAGAACCTTGTCTGAGACCACTTCACGCCTTACATCTGGCCACTTAACTCACCTGACTGTAACCTATTTGATTATTGTGTTGGATGCAGTTGAACCAGAGACCAACGAATCAAAGGATTATGCCAGCATTCCTCAAGTTAAACAAGGAGAGCATACAGAAGAGTTACAGGACATTCCGAAGTCTTCTGGAGGACTTGGTTGAAGACAATGGCAATTTTATTGAATATATTTCCATCAGTTATGTGCCATGCGGGTTACATGTATCTCGATACTGACGAGGTAGGGAGGTTGCTATTTCTTTCTGCGGTAGACCAGTTGTGGTAGATCAGTTGCAATTCAAGGCTATAGAACCCGGTCTGTCCTGCTATTTAGAAGAAGAGTATTTATATCTTTCCCAAGGTTATTAGCACGTAACAGAATGCAATGGATTTGACTGGAATTGCAAGTTGGCTCTCCGATTCCTCAATCCGAGCGGCTATCTATTACTCAACCGGGCCTCCTTTAGTCTTTCAGGATATGTTGGTCAATATCTCTGTTAGATTGAGATGTCAGTGTTATTTTCCTTTGGTGTAATGTTGACGACAATTTATCCATCGTACTTCTTTTTTCTTTTCTTTTCTTTTCTTTCTTTCTCTCTCTCTCTCTCTCTCTCTCTCTCTCTCTATATATATATATATATATATATATATATATATATATATATATATAATTATTGGGAGGATTTGATAATTATATTTAATTAATTCATCGAGTCTGATAGAAACCTCCACAGAATGCAGAAAGCACTGGACGGCCGTTTCGTCCTATATTTGGGACTCATCAGCAGTGCGCATCCAACTGTTCCAAATTGGCCTTGGTGACGAAGAGATCCCAAATCAGACTCAGTATAGCGCCGCTCGCTCACATATTCCGTGTTGGAACTCTACTGAGATCTCTCTAACCATAGGACTGTGCCCCCTGGAGTCACGACTACTCTCACCAAGCCGCTCCAATCTCTATATATAAAAGTGAACATTGAAGTGAACACTTAGAGGCGACAGTGTTTCGCTAGACGCAATCGTCTTGTGGCCTGACGATTGCGTCTACCATGAAACAGCCTGTCGCCTCTAAATGTTGACTTCAATGTTCACTTTTTATTTACACTATCTCTGATAATGAACACTATATCCCATAAATATAGGAGATCTTAAGACTATATATATATATATATATATATATATATATATATATATATATATATATATATATATAGTTTATGAAAAACTAGGTAATCCGTATTGGTAAACCTAAGGAGGATAAAATCCAGAGAGCTCAATGTAAATCCAGAGCATATAATTTAAATAAAAACAGACCACTTTAAGTTTCCATGTAATAAATTATTTCACCACAGCCCTTTTAAAAGGACTGCCTATATATATATATATATATATATATATATATATATATATATATATATATATATATATATATATATATATATATATAAATTCATGAATCATTCATACAAAAAACAAATATAGAGGTTAATGATTTAAATGGCGAGAATACATCGTCGCAAACACATAAATAAGATACACCAACCCCCGAACCTGTATATGAATGATATGATCCCTGTTTATAACTTATATTTGCACCTTTTAATTGAATATATATATATATATATATATATATATAATTAAAGTAATTTTCAGTGTAAACAGTGAACTTGGACAGATTATTTGACATTAACGTCCATGTTCCCCATATAGTTGTGATCGTTTTTTTTGTAAGAGAAAGACAAATAAGATACATACATACATAGGTATATATATTCAGTTATAATATATCATGTTTGCGAAGTTTTGTCTGAAAACTTCATACGAGATGTTTGCTATGAACGTCCTTTCTTAACCAGCATTTGACGGCAGTCGACCAATTCGGTGCACATGTATCCAATTGTCTACATCGGCTGCATATCGGTCTGTTTAGAGAAACTTCGTCTTGGTTAGAGGCGAACCATTCTGATTTCCATCTGACATTACGGATAACGAGCTTGTCAAGACGGAGATAAGCGAGACTTAACCAAATTACACAGACGAATGGCTGACAAGACTTGCGTCAGTCGAAATCTTTGCGACAGATGGTCACTCCGCATCATTTCCCATGCACACATAATTATCTCTCTCTCTCTCTCTCTCTCTCTATATATATATATATATATATATATATATATATATATATATATATATATGTATATATTTGTGTGTGTGTGTATGTATATACGTATGTATGTATCTATCTCTGTTTTTGTATTTATGTCTCTGTCGATATCTATCTCAGCCTGTACATATCTATCTATCTATCTATCTATCTAACATCTCAGCCTATACATATCTATCTATCTATCTATCTCTCTATCTATCCGTCTATCTATCTATCTCAGCCTGTACATATCTATCTATCTATCTATCTATCTATCTGTCTAACATCTCAGCCTATACATATCTCTCTATCTCTCTATCTATCTATCTATCTCAGCCTGTACATATCTATCTATCTATCTATCTATCTATCTATCTATCTATCTATCTATCTATCTATCTCAGTCTGTTCATATCTATATATCCATGTCTGTTCATGTGTGTCGCGCTCTCTCTCTCTCTCTCTTTCTTTATCTATCTATCTGTTTATCATAGTTTTTGTATTTATGTCTCTGTCGATATCTATCTCAGCCTGTTCATATCTATCTATCTATCTATCTATCTATCTATCTATCTATCTATCTATCTATCTATCATAGCCTTTGTATTTATGTCTCTGTTAATATCTATCTATCTCAGCCTGTTCATCTCTATCGAACCATTTTTCTTTCTTTTCTATCTCGCTTTCTCTGTCACTTTCTAACACACACACACACACACACACACACACACACACACATCTATATATATATATATATATATATATATATATATATATATATAAGTCAACACCAGAGGCGATAGTTTGTTTCATTCTAATCGCAGTCAGGCCTTGATCGCGTGACGATTGCGTTGATTATGAAACAGACTGTCGCCTCTAGGTGTTCACTTCAATGTCCACTTTCACTTTTATATTTACTTACGCTTTGTCCTTAATATTTTGTACTTTAACCCACAAATATAGCATACTGTAAATCTATATTTTATGTTATATATATATATATATATATACTCTCGACTCTCCCGCCGAATTCGGCGTATGGGTCAAGCAGATCAGTTCCCAGGTAACCGACAGCCCGACAACAGCACATGAGATTTGATTATAGTGGGTGGCGAAGGTTGCACACCTGGTGCACTACGTGCCACAAGGTCCGCAAACGACGCAGGTTTTGAATTCAAAGTTGTACTTCTCCTAGACCAATTGCCATCCAAGGCTATAGAACCCAGTCTATCCTGCTATTTCTCCATAGCTGTTCAATTTTTATGAACAATAAAAAATATTAAAAATTAAAACACACTGGGTTGTATATTAATATTCTTTCGTTTTGATTATTTCAGTTACATTCTTCGACTAGTTTCGGCCAACATGGCCTTCATCAGGTGAGAAAAAAATTCTGCTTTTAGTAGCAGTGAACTATAGAAATGAATGTTTTAATGGAGGAAATGAACTTTTGTCTGTAGTTTTCATTTGTTTTTTTTTTATTTTTTTAACATGAATTTTGGTCAGCCCTTGTGTTGGTCAAACAGTCTCTTGTTATTCAAGATAAGAGCTGGATGGATTCATGTTGCTCCGAATTCCCTTGGTCATTTTGGCAGTCTTATTGGTTCCTGGAAGGGGGATGTGTCTCTGTTAAGTGCCTGTGTTATTTGGTTCTTAGGGAGTGAGTGAGTATGATGTGTGTAAGTGTGTATATTTACTATGGGTGTGTGTTGTCATTTGGCTCATTAGGGAGTGAGTGAGCATGATGTGTGTAAGTGTGTATATTCGTGTGGGTGTATGTTTAAGTGTAACAAGTGTGTGTATAAGCATGTCTGTCTTGTGTGGGTGAGAAATGTGGGTGGTTTCGATTTGTTGGGTTATATAATACTATCTATATTGTTAAATTTATGGTTTAGACCGTCTGGATAGTGCGATTTTAAACGTTGTATCCAATTATTTTCATGGGACTCTAAAATCTTTCTAATGTTTCTATGAACTTTTCTATTCTCTCAATTATAGTGAATTTGGTATGGGTTTTAAAAATCGTGTTTTTGCAGGCGGAAATGTTGTTCTACAGGTAATAATCTTTCATTGGGTGTCGACATAACTCGATTGCGATAATTATTAATTCTGTAGTGAAAGGGCCATTCAGATTTTCCTACAGATTGTTTCTGGCATAGTGTGCATTCTAGAAGGTAAATTATGTTATGACTTCTACAGTTAGAATCGTGGTAGATTTTGAAAGTAGATTTTATGACTGAGCTAGTGAATGAATTAAAAATGAAAGGAAATCTCCATATTGATACATATTTTTAATCCTATCTAAGCTTTTGGTTTACATAAGTCATCATCAAAGATGGCAATTACATTACAATATATTAAACAATACACGGACATGGCAATAATGATCGACTGTTTTTTGTTTGCGTTCCAAGCAACGAAAAACTCGTGCATTTGAGGTTGACGTTGCTTGGAGATCTGCCATGTAAACAAAAACAAGCTATCATTATTGTTTTGTCCGTGTATTGTTTGATATATTGTACTGTAATTGTCATCTTTGATAATGGCTTATGTAAGCCGAAAGCTTACATAGGATTAAAAAATATGTATCAATATGGTGATTTTCTTTCTTTTTTAATGATCATGTTATTAAGCTTATTAGACGATATGAAAAAAATTAACATAAAATAAATAGACAAAACTTTTCTATATTATTCAATGAAACAGGCATCAATATATATATATATATATATATATATATATATATATATATATAGACAGAAAGGATGTATAAATCTCTTGTACTGCTCGCTCCTGATGTTTTTTTCAAAAGGTTTTAAGAAAACAGTTCCATGAAAAGAAAAAACAGCATATATATATATATATATATATATATATATATATATATATATAGTGCTGTTCGATAAAAGTAACTCACCTGAATTTTTTATTCAAAATTTTTTCACCTATTGTTTCTGGGGTCAAACTAATTTTTAATCTTACTAATATAAAGACCCCTTTCCGACCACCTAATAAAAAAGTTTTCTCTCCCTAAGGTATTCTATTGATAATTATAATTTTGAATATAAATGAGATTTAGGAAAAAAACTCTGTGCAAAAAAGTGACTCACTTATTTCCTGCAACTAGTAATCAATAGAAACATAACCGAACAGCTTTAAATAAAGAATAATAGAGGAATAATTTATTTATAATTGTGGCACCATGCATACTTAGCAAGCTGGAAAGAAATATTCATAAATATATGATTTATTTTTTTTGTGGTTTGTCAACCATTTGATAATTATTTAGAGCTGAAAAATATTTGGGTTTTGAGAATAATTCTTTAATTGCGTTCAAGCGATCTGGGAGAAAGAAAGAGAAGAAGAAGAAAAAGAAAGAAAAAAATATAATACGAAAACCAGGTCATAGGCGAGCACACACACGCACGATTGATACATAACAGATGTTGGAAGATATCCAGGTCAAGCACCTGACCTACTTCCGTGTCCACGAAAAATGGAAGTTTGTTATCAATTTTGTTGAAGAAATAAAGTTTAGAGACAATGGAAAAAAAAATATGATAGGTAACAGGTGGGAAGTTTATCTAAGGATATGCAGGCAAACCATTAATAAGAAAACCCAGACAATTCCAGAATTAAAAATAAAGCCACACAAGATGATGTTGGCTGAAAATGTTTTTTTGAGATAATTAAGATTTTTGTTATCAAGCTTCGAGCGAAAGAAAAAGTGAAACATTTTTATTAGTTCACGAAAACGCCACCCAGTCTGAGAAATCCCTTTCTAAGATCGTATCCATTTAGCGATAAACTGTTTGACAAATACCGCGTGTTGAAAAAAAAAAAAAAGCCGAGAGCGTCATTTCGGTCACGTACGATAAGGGCAATTTGAATTTTTATTTTTTTTAAGCAAGGTGTTTCTTCCCCCAGAACAAAGCCACGGATTGTCCACGCCCGACTAAAGACGCCATTGGCTAGATGGGATCACGTGGCGCACGAAGGAGGAGGAAAAATACCCGACTAGGACCTCATTGGCCGAGAGCGGTCACGTGACGCACGAGGAGAATCGGTCGACGCCCTTGTCAGAGGTGTAAGTGTGAGGAGCCGATAAGAAGAAGCGGGTATACGCCCTCTGAGACACAATAAGGAAGTAGGAGTGAAAGTAAATTACCGAAAATGGAAAATCCCTAACCAGAAATAAGAAGGGTGGATACGTATTTAGAATTATCAAGAAAACCCTGGCGCCGACAGACCCACCCCAGTTTTTGACTGCGTCAATAAAAGCGGGACCCCAACCGACAGAAATGAGTGTTTGCGCCGCGTACGGCGAGAGAGATCAGCCGTGAACGACAAGCAGAGATCAGCGCCCAGTGTTGAAACCGCATCAAGATAGCTAACCAAGATTCACGCACACTTCTAGACTCTTCTTCAACCAAGAACAAGTAGTTTGAAGAGCGACTTAGAATCAGACCACAAGAAATAAGTTTTTTTCGACTTTCGTCCAAAGACACACCGAAACGCAAATTTCTAAGAGAGCAGACAACTGGAAGCCTTAAAGTTGCCTAGTAAAAGCATTGTGCCACAATCCACAGAACGGGTCGGGAGGTAGACCTAGTCCTATGTACCGAGCAAACAGACATAAAAGTTTGTTACCTTTTTCTTGATACGTTGGACCTTGTGAGTTGTTATTTTATTTCTTTTTATTATACATAATTGTGTGTTATCAACCCCGTTAGACTCAACTTGCATTACGGCCCCAAGCCCTGTTTGATCTCGTCTGTCTAAGATCAAGTCACAACGTGGGTAGGCAGACCAGAGATCAGTGCAGTTACCCTGGTAACCAGGCGTTGGAAGCAGGTTGGGAACGACGAGGCTGGTATCAATCTAACCAAAGGGTTAGAACGTCACGTTTGGAGCAGCGAGGAGCGAACAGCTGACGCCGCGACAAAAGATGTCACAACTGGTGCTGTCCGTGACCAGGATATCAGAGCCTGGGAAGCACGTGACGTCACAATTGGCGCCGCGAACGGGATCGAACGACACAGTCGACGCTGCGACCGGGGGACGACGTCACATAATAGGTAATATAGTTCGAAATATTTAATAATCTATGGGTCCTCCTTTATTTTGAATAACCTTTTCAACCCTTTTTGGCATTGACTTGATTAGGTTCTGGCAAATCTCATCTCCAAGCATTGAATTCCATTCGGATATGAAATTCACAATCAAATCCTCTTTGTTGCTCAATTGCTTTCTCGAGAAACTGTATTTATAATGCTCCATAAGTTTTCTATGGGGTTGAGGCCAGGAGATTGGGGCGGCTATGTCATAACACTCATCTGCTTCTCATCAAAGTATTTCTTCAACAATTTTGATTTGTGACAGGGTGCATTATCCTACATAAAAATGAGCTTGGTTGGGTCGATTTTCACTCTTTCACTAGAAGGGAGCGGACAAGACTCTAAAATTCTCTTGTATTGCTTGCTCCTTAGGGTCTTTTCAATAGGTGTTAAGAAATCAGTTCCATGAAAAGAAAAGCATCCCCAGAATATTATACTGAACAGATTCCTGATGTAACTCACCATAAAATGTGTCACAACT